TATCACCCCTCCCCCTCCCCTCGATCTCCTCCACCCTTTCAACTTTTCAGTTTTCTAAAAGCAAAAGCAACAACAACAACAACAACAGTAAAAACAACGACGGCGACAGCCCTCCCAGCGAGCGAGTGGAGAACCTTGGACGTATAATGTCCGTGGTCGGCTTCTCTGTGCCGGCTCAGTACGTCTTTACCGGAATCTTCATGGGGCCGGTCATGAGCGCCGTACAGAGCGCCTGGGTTCCAATCTACTACTGCATGATATCTTCCTTCATAGCTGTGAGCCTCATGGGCGCTCTCTGTTTTGTGGAGAGAAAATGACGTACAAAATGGTGAACGAACAATCAATTCCGAGTCATTCTGGCAGGTTTTACGTAATTATGTCAATTGGTGACTTAGATATTATCGTTTTTCCTTTGGAGTTGTACAGTTTATGTCTTGATTGAAGACCATGAGAGCGTTATTTGTTCTGTGTAATTAATGGTCTGTTATGGACTCATTTGCGTCGTAATGTTGTTTTGGCGTCCTAATGTTTTGTTTTTAAAGTCATTAAGTTCTGTTTTGACTCCATAACGTTCTCTTGTTTTACTTTAATGAAGTTAAATTTTCGTAATGATGTTGTGTTTTGACGTCATAGCGTTCTGTTTTGACTCCACAACGTTCTCTTTTTTGACTATTATGAAGTTCTATTTTTATAAACATGTTGTGTTTTGACCGTAATAATGTTCTATTTTTATATTGCATTAATGTGATATGTGTTTTGACCGAAATGATGTCAAGTTTATATTTTACCATAAAGTTGGTATGTTTTTGGCCTTAACATTGGCAATGCTTGTCTTTGAAGGCTCATGCTGCAAATGTTAGATTCTTGTATTTATGCTTTTTATAAAAGTGTACTTTTAGACATTTATACATGTCATATATGTATCTGTACATATATTTGCATACATATAATATATGTATTTGTTATAAATATGCAGACGTATTGCATTTATACATGAATATGTCTTTCTCTTTATATATTACGAAAATATATCTCTAAATTTTTGTTTCCATATTATAAACATACCTTTCCAGATGTATCGTCCATATCTGTATGCATACATGTCACATCATGTTTACATAAAAAAATAAATATGATTTGCGAGTATCATATTCGCATATGTTTATATATGTATACAAATATTTCCTTTTTTTCTTTTTTCACTTTACTAAGTCAACCATACTGTACTTGCGCGGAGATCCGAGTTTATTTCTTGAGAAGGGGCTTACTGTATGGCGAGAATTTGTATCCTGGATTTAATTTTGGGTCTTTTTGCTGGGATGTTGTATCCCTCTCAGTCTGGTCTTTCTGCTGGGATATTGTATCCCTCTTAGCCCAGGTCTTTCTGCTCTGATATTGTATCCCTCTCAGCCTGGGTCTGTCTGCTGAGATGCTGTATCCCTCTCAGACCGGGTCTTTCAGCTGGGATGTTGCTTCCCTCTCAGTCTGGGTCTTTCTGCTCTCTTAGCCTCGTGTGACTCCGATAGGCAGGGTCGAAGCCCACCTCCAGAATTGTAGTGTGGATTCTAAAATGAGTCGAAGGAGATCTAAAAAAACATTTACATAAAAGAAGAAGAAAGCGAGAGAGAATTCACGTGCAGGAGAAATCAGTGCTGGAAGGTTTGTGTTGAAGAGCGGAAAAGTAATGTCCCCTGGCAGTAGTAACATTGTGAAAAAATTGTGCTCGTTTGAGCAAAAAAATGAAGTATTTTTAGCTTTGGAGGGAGCAGAACAGTGATATTGCAACCCCCCCCCTCCCAAACCACCCCCCCTAAAAAAAACAACAACAAAAAAACAAAAAAACAACAACGAAAAAACCAACGGTGGAATGGAGAAAAGAAAATTATTATGTCGTTCAGTTTTGCGAAACTGTTACATGACTGTATAACTTGTAAAAGAGCGTGGTTTGCAGGAGTGGCATTTGTATCTCTTATAGAACCAACATTCTCTCGAAAATTGTCAGGAGACAAAGTTTTCACAACTGACAACGTTTCCGATATAACCAAGCCAGATAAGATAGGATAAGATAACTTAAGATAATACTTTGTTATCCCAGAGGGAATTTTTTTGTAGCTGTGCTGGACCCTAAAAAACCCCCATGTAGGTATACATAAAAATTTAAATTATATATTTTTGTGAAACATGCTGACCTAAAGAGCTACTTCTCAGATTCGAGCCTTGTGGAAATAAAGACATCACGCTAATAGGTGAAGTTTTTTTCCATTCACATTCATTACAAAATAATAAAAGGCACGTTATGCTTAAAGAATATGGTACCAAGTAAGAAAAAGATTACAAATTTGACTCTAGTGTGGATTTTTGGCCAATGTATCAATTTGTGGATTGCGAGAGGTAACTCATTTTGTCAGCACGCCTCACATATTACTCTCATTAAAATTCAACATGAAAAAAGAAGTAGACCTGACAAAATGTGCACATCACATCAGATGTGTCATTCAACAACCTGCAGGAATTTCATTACAAGATCTTTAGAGTTATATTGATACATATTCGAAAGAGCAATACACATTGGTGTTTATTCTGACATTAGCCGTGTGCTAGATGGTATAACACTTTTTTTAATGTCTTTCATTCTTTGTTTTTAGAGATCTGCTGCTGCGCGATCTTACAATTTTCGTGGAAATGGGGTGTGATGAGTCTTTTAAAATGCTTTTTTTCTTTTTCATCACTAAAGACAGTGAAAATAAAATAGAGGCAACAGAAATGTGGTTTCTTAGGAGACTGCTAAGAGTATCGTGGAAGGAAAAGAAATCAAATGAGGTAGTGCTTGATGAAGCCCACGTGGGACGCTCAATGTTAAAAACAATCAGGAAACGACAAATGCAGTTTTTGGGACACCTGAATAGACATAAGGGTCTTAAACATCTAGCCCTCACTGGCAAAATTGAGGGCAAGCGAGGCAGGGGTAGGCCCAGAACAACATACTTAGGGAACCTAAACAAATGGGTAACAGGGAAAGATCAGGGAAACAATGCTTTTCTGAGAGCATCCGAGCAAAGGAATGAATGGAAAATCATGATCGCCGATGTCTGTCGCAGATCTGGCACTGGAAAACTCTTACACAGCAGTCCTGCCTCATCGTGGATTTGAACCAAGGTGATCCGCTCTGTACTTCTGGGTCAAACCGATAACCACTGATTAAATGTACCTTGTGAAGGAGGTAAATTCTGTCAGATGTCTAAAACTAAGAGATAAAAAGCACCCCCCCCCACACACACACCCTACCCTCACCGCCCTCCTGTCCTCCAGTAACAGTTACTGTAAAAATAGCAGCAGCTGGAGCGGCCACAAAACAAACAATGAGAAATTATCAAACTTTGGCGGCACCTAGATTTTTTCTCTATCTCGCTAATTTTTACCCTTTAGTCCCGGCACCCTCCCCCTTCTTGCCCCAACCCAACCACCTTTGATTAGAAATGATATGCCGACTGTTGTTCAAGCCAGGTGGGATTTTTTTCATAAGAATCAAGACAAATCAACAGGCTTTATGATTAAAACAACAACTCCAAATGCCAAAAATTTGACCTTAGTATCCACTTTGGACAAATGCTGTTTTCCCATGAGATCTTCACTACAATTTACAAACATTGAGACAGACTTGGGGCATACATTCTGACCTTGTTTACCGTCAAATACACAGATTTACAAGATACTGAAGAATTTTTTTCCCGCCTTATCGTCGCCTCAAACAAAACAAAGTAAGAAAGGCTGAACTCTATTTCAAGTGCTCGTTAACCCGAATGTGGACTTCTGACCAAAAAATGTGAGGCAGCGTGGTGGAATCAGGCTCTCGTCAATTATTGAGCATGTAGACTTATTGGTATAGTCTTAAAGGTTGTTCACTTGTGTTTATTGGGAAGAAAAAATATCTATTTATCTTGAATACAAGTCGAGATATTTGCGATTGAAGGAGGTGGGGGTGACCTGTTTTCAGAGGTAAAATTAGTCAGAAAATGGCCGCCAAAGATTAGTTATTTCCTTTTATTAATAGTCCGTGGTAACTGAAAATTTCAATTTTTTTGTGCCTTTAATCAACGTTTTTCAGAAAAATTCACACAGAAATAAGTTCTTTAACGGGCATGAAAGGTGTTTTGCCAAAGAACAAAAATTTGATAAAAATTCACAAACCAACAGAAAAAAGCAAGTTTCTTTACTTTGATTATTTTGACGAGAGCCTGATTCCACCACGCTGCCTCACAAATGCATTTTTATGTATCGCGACACAGTGGAATCAGGTGCTCTTCAAGTTTTGGGTATATGGAGTTACTGGTAACATCTGAAAGCTTGATTTTTTTGGGGTCTTTTCATTTGGTGAATAAGATATCTATCTGATTTGAACAGAAGTTAAGATAGTTGCAACTGAAGGTAGTGGGGTGGCCTGATTTCAGAGGTAAAAATGGTGAGAAAATGGCCGCCAAAGTTCAGTCACTGCAATAACTTGACAGGACAGAAACAAGAAATTTACAAGTTTTGTGTCTTTTATCAACGTTCTTTTAGTAATTTCCACACAGTAATGTTTTTTTTTAAAGGACTTGACATAACAGCTGTTGAGCCAAAATATCAAAATTCGATATGAATTGCCAAACAGGCGGAAACGTGCCAGTTTCTTCGATTTTGACGACCGTCTGATTTCCCAACAATGCCTCAAAGAGAATTATTGTTAAATCACTAATGGGCTTAAACGTAAACCGAAATTTAATCAATTTTTTTTTTGCATGATGAAAAAGAAGCAAAGTTTTGCTTTCAAAAGTATTATTTACATTTGACTTTTGCGTTGATAAAACTAAAGGATTTGTTCGCTTAAAAAGGTAGGGGCAAGGGAGAAGGAGGAAATTTTGTGAATCTAAATACATGTACATAGGTCCTGACAACAGTTTATTGTGACATTAACGTATGCCATCTCATTAGCAGTTAAAGCACATACTGTGCACAAGTATTCTACCATAAGCTGACAAAATGCCCATTTCCAGTTTTGGCGCTACCTTAAAAACAATGCTAAATCGAAAGCCTGATCAGTTACCCTACAGTGTGAAAAAAAATCAAAGCGAAACTGTGACTAATTTTTAAAAATAAATTAGAATTCAAATGTCAGAAGAACGCTGGGGTTACGTTGACAAAAGACCTCGTTATCTCGAAACTGCTGTGATTCAGAAAAAATGCGTTTTGTTTGAGTACGCCAGTATTGTCCCTGCTGACAAATTGCATGTGATTGCATAATTTGGTGTCTGTGATCTGAATCAGCAGTTTTAATGTTGCA